CATGGAAAACGTACTGTAACTAGACGATATGTAGCATAACATCCATAAGCAGCTAGATGAAAACTAGAATGATCAATCGACTGGGTTATTTCGGTACTGATAGAACTTGCAAAGAGATGGCAAGCATTTCTCTCATTTGCATAACTCTGGAGTAATCAGTAAGGATATAAAGAGTAATGCATACACAATTCCCGTGTACACAAATTGAAACAAAGTCAATGCGTGTTTATGCCAAAATTAAATATGAACTAAACTCATCAAAGTAACCCGAACTACACAACTGTGGAAGAACCAATTGGAATCTACAAAATTTTTTTAAATCAGGGAACAAGTGGCTACTAACAGAACCAATTGGAATCTAAAAATTAACATCATTTATGTTATGCCATATATGTAAGACCTGGTGGAATGTTACAATACATAAATGTTGCACGTGCAAGAAATCAGAATAACTTATAAAATGAATATAACAACTTAATCTAATTCACACCCCTTGTGTGTCTGTGTGGAAAGAAAGAACTCATTACGTAGTAGAAGACTTTGAATTCCAAAGTATCTTTGTTGTACACTAGTCTAATAATAACGAATAGATCCACTTTTGTCACCATATAAAATAAATATTTATGATAATGCGACGAAAATATGACACCTTAATCTAAAATGCTCATATCAGTTATATGTGGTCATATTAGGCCTTGCAATATTTAAGCACAGACAACAAAAAAAGAACCCATTCATTCCATGAGACAACGCAAACTGTCCAATCAACAAGAAATTAAGCAAGCACCACATGGACACTAAACAAAGCAGTTTTCGTGTGCAATTTGTTTACAAAATCAACAACTCGAAGCACAAAACATTTTCAAAGTCAATGCCACATGTAATACTTAGAATCAGGCGGCAAACAAACTACAAGTTCCTTGTCCAGTTTTGTCATACATAAACATGACATCAATGGAATAGCTCTAAGACAGTGTACAAATTACAACTTTCAATTAAAGAAAAACTTTACATTGCTTAATACAAGTCCAGAAATGATTGAATAAGAACAATGAAGATAAGAATTTTCTAGCAATATATTTTTAGAACTACAGATCAAAGAAATCCAGTCTTGCCAGGAAACAAAACGAACTTCTCGAAAATTTAAGTATGCCCTTAAGCATGAAATGGATGCTAAACTCATTGACTTAATAATAGCCCACAAGGGATAAGTAAGCAAAACAGCCACAAGAATGAAAGTCATAATCACAATTTCAAATAATTTATAATCCGTTCAAGTTATTATCAACAACAACCATCGTCCATCGAATATTTTCGTAATAAACGTGCATACCAATGGCAGTCACATATAAAGATAACTCACCTTAATTTTTTGAGTCCACCATTCCTCCGATGCTACGATCCGACCAGTTGATGAATTTATTTCCACCCCGGTACAATTCAACAACTCCGTTAGC